CAAGGTCTGCGGGGAGAGGTAACGATACGCTGCTGTTGATATTATTTATTTGCCCCCTTTTTTTTTCCCCCCCCTCTGGCTCTGAATTCCTGTCGCGTAGCTAGATAAGAAACGCGCTGCCGTTACGAAAGCCGCAAGCCGGGCAGCAGCGTCGGGTTGTGATTGGGGCTCTAGGTCACGCAACGCTGCTCGTGCCCCTGCTTAGGGAAACATTAACCCTTGGGAGCAGGTCACTCTTCTCCAAAATCCCAAATTCACTGTCCTGAAATGCTCCCTGCTATCCGCAGCCAGTCTGCTGCCCCCCCCAGCAAATGCAGGCAGAAAGTCTCTAAAAGTTAAAAAGAAATCATTTTGCTTGATTTTGCTTGGTTTTATGGTGGCAACATCTGCAAGAGGGTGCATCGGTGTTTTCTCGCTCTGTTTTAGCATGCCAGTGGGCGGCCACCGAGGTGACAGACTGGGTAATGACCATCCCTAACATTGCCCAGAGCTTTCCAGCCCTTGCCCACTGCCAGCAGTGGTGGCAACCAACCTGCTCTGACAACCAGAAGGGTAATTTCTACCAAAAGGTAGTGCACATGTTAAGTTATTCCCTTGGAAACCATCATGGAGTTGAACTTTCCTAGCTGGGCACACAGCTGAGGGTCAGCCAAGGCATGGGACCGACCTTGCCTCCCTCCCTCCCAGTAAACACCAGCGCTCTGGCTTCTCTTCAGATAACACGAATCCCAATGAAAAAGCAAAGCCACCCCCCACACACACACACTGTCACCCTGCCACGTTACCACTGCCAATAACTTCACGTGGCGCCTGGGCTGAAATCACTGCACCCCATTACTGCTCATACAAAGCGTGTTAGCGCTGCCTGGTATTGCTGATCCAACGATCGCTGCAGGAGCTCGGCAGCCAAGGAGACACCAGAGGGGAGGCCCGAGGTAGGGGATCATCTTATGGACATGACAGCACTGGCAGTCCCACTGCAGCGTTTTCCAAGGTCTTCCAGCAGCACAGGCTTCACAGCAGCAATCGCAGTGCAGCCACCTGTTAAATAAAATGTCCTTGTGACTCCCTGGTGCTTCTTGCACGAGGAGCCCTGAGTTCACAGTGTCTGCAGAGACAGGCAGCCCTGGAGCGAAACATCTTCAAGCTGGGTTTTATATCAGCTTAAGTTTTCAGAGGTTGAAAGTCTTCACACTAAGTCCCCAAAATACCTTCAAAATGGGTGAAATAATCTGCCCCACAAAGCCCAGTTCCTCTTTCTCGCATGGGTTTTCTGTTCCTCAAAGGCAGTGGGACTGTGCCAAGGTAAAGTCAGGGTAACAGCAGGAGACACCTAGGACATTCTGTACATCCATTTTTACACTAAAATGCTAAGCAGGAAAACACCATGACAGAGAGAGAGAATCAACCATACTGAAAAAGGACCCCGCTCTGTAGGTGCGTGGGCCTCTGAAAACATCCCTGTGCGTTTCTCATAAATCAGCAACTCCCACTTCCCAGTAGATCATGCCCAT